ACCTGTTATGCACTCGCCTACAAGGAAAGTAACAGTAAAAGAACAGAAAGAATGGAAAATACCACCTTGTATTAGTAATTGGAAGAATGCAAAAGTAAATCATTTCTTATATTGTCAATAGTTGAAATTTTACAAATAAAAAATTTATTTTTAGGGATATACAATACCTCTTGATAAACGTCTAGCTGCAGACGGTCGTGGATTGCAGCAGGTTCACATAAATGAAAATTTTGCTAAGCTAGCCGAGGCTCTTTATATCGCAGATAGAAAAGCTCGAGAAGCAGTAGAGATGCGAGCACAGCTTGAGAAAAAATTAGCTCAAAAAGAAAAAGAAAAGAAAGAAGATCATTTAAGACAATTAGCGCAAAAAGCTAGAGAAGAGCGTGCTGGACTGAAATCAGCTGCAATGGGTTTGTTGTTTACATTTTATATACTTTATATTGCATTCATTTACATATTTGTGTATTTATATATTAATATATTGAAAACAAGTTTAATACCAAAACTTTAATAGTTTATGTTTTTTTTTGTATATAGAAAAATCGGAAGAGTCACGGGAAAGAGATCAACTTAGACAAGAACGACATAAAGATCGAGCTCGAGAGCGGAACTTAGCGCGTGCTGCACCTGATAAGCGTTCTAGATTGCAACGTGAAAGAGAACGAGATATCAGTGAACAGATTGCACTTGGTTTACCAGCAAAAAGTATTCCAAATAGTGGAGAAGCACAATTCGATCAACGATTATTTAATACTAGCAAAGGAATGGATAGTGGATTTGGACACGATGATGAATATAATGTTTATGATAAACCCTGGAAAGATTCTAACTCTATTGGTTCGCATATATATCGTCCCAGTAAAAATATCGATAAAGATACTTATGGAGATGATTTGGAAAAACTTGTTAAGACGAACAGGTATTTTTTTTGTTGATTAAATTAATAAATATCTTTAGAAGCAATTAAAATGATAGAAAAGAATGCTTGAATTAAATATTCTTATAATAAAATATTTTTTTTATAATTTTAGGTTTGTTCCGGATAAGGAATTCAGTGGAACTGATAGATCGACGACACGATCAGGGCCAGTTCAGTTTGAGAAAGACGAAGAAGATCCTTTTGGTTTAGATCAATTCTTGAAGCAAGCCAAACGTGCAAGCAGTTCTACTACTACAACTACAAAACGTAAAGATGAACGGGAACAACGGAGAGATGATCGTGATAAACGAAGAAAACATTAAATTTTCTTGTTTTTTAATTTAGAATAAATTTTAAACATTTTTTTTTCTTCAATGCTATTTATGTTTAATTTTAAAATTAAATAATTGAACTTTAATTATTTCAATAATTATTTGATTCAATTATTTTTTATTCATTTCAATTAATCTAATCAGTATAATTCTACATAAATTCATAATAAATACACAAATTCTACATAAATACATAATTCAACACATATAAATAGATGTAAATGCCTTAGAATTTTAAAAAATGATGATTTTTTTCTATTTCTTCACATCATACTGTAACAGAAGTACAACTTTAAAACAAAAAAATAAAAAAAATGTATACAAAATTACTAAAATTGCTAATCATTAATAAATAAAAATAGTAATTTTTTTTCAATGATTTGTTATATTTCATTTAACAAAAATAAAGCTGGTTAAATTTGTTTCAGACTCAGTTCTTTATTAACACAATGTGCATACAGCAGATTAGATTAACAAAGGAGGCGATACTTTCGTATGGAGAGCGATTGTTATTTCTTAATTAATAATGTAGTTATTTACTTTCTCATCAAATATTTTTTTTTGCATAAAAGTTTATCGATACTATTTTTACAAGTTATTTTTTGAAGATCGCGTCAAATTGAATCAAATCTAACAATATTATTGTAAATTCACGAATTTATATTAAATTCATATTAATGATAGTTTTTAATATTATATTGCTTTATATGTAATGCTACTACTTTTTTTTTTTGTTCTCGCGATTCCCAAACTGTTCCAATTTTTTTTTGAAGTTATTTTAATGGAATTTATAATATTTCTACTTTGGTAATATTTTTCACTAATTTTACTAATGTCAAATTGAAATTTATATCTTTTACTTAACTATGTATATATGAAATCTCCCGCTTCACTTTTATACAATTCAATTGAATTGTATAAAATTATTGTAAGATGTAAGATAATTATACATGCAGAAACGAGTTTGAAGAACACTGAACTGTGTTTATAAATATGATCGAAAAATCTTTTTGTTTCCGTAGAAAGAAATAAAAATTGATGAATAATTTCGTCATTTTTTAATAAAAATGGAAATGCATATGTATATTTATAGAAATCAGCAAATAATAAATGAGTTTGTGAGAATGTTTATGATGATTTTTTTTCCTTTTAAACTTTCTTATAAATATTTCTCTCTAAACACGACTTAGAAGGTGATCTTTTTAATCAGTCTTTTCTTTTTTTTTTCACTCATAAGATTATCACAGAAAAATTTCTATGCTGATTTCTTTTTGTCTCAAAAATTCAAATGAATAATTCGTTTCGTTATTCACGCAAATTGACGCGATCTTTTAGTTCGTATTAGATTGATCTCACATTCTTTATTGTAAACCATATCCTTAAAAGCTATATTAAGATTTTTTTGCCAAACTTTAATGGAATTATTATTCTCTTTCGCAAATATTATAATATAATCAGAAAACTCTCCTGATGAGAAAGACTAGATTTAATAACGCTGAAGACTACAGACTTGTTTGGAAGTTTATATATAATGAACACTATCAATCATTTCAGTTGTGTTCAAGTTTTCAAAATTTTGTTTTTTTTAGCTGTAAAACATAATACCAATTCTTGCTTTAACAATATGAATAAATATTTTTAAATTTTATAAATATTTAATATGTAATCATTATAACTTATTTTTTTATTTGTAAAATAATAAGTACACAGAGTAAGAAATATGATAGCAGCCAAATTCTATAATTTTATATAAGAGGTAAAAAACTTTAACTATATCTAAAAATCTATCACTTTTATTTCAAATACGTATTTTTCTTTTTATTTTAAACGTGTATTTTTTTTTATTTTCAATCAAAATAAGCTATTAATTCAAAATCATATAATTTTGAAACAACCGAAGAATTTAAATTATGTAAATATAAGAAAATATAATTTATATATTAAACAGATATTAGAGTGTTTATCAATAGCATTACAAAAAATTATATTCTAAGATTTTTATTAAAGTAATACAAAAATAAATTTAAAAATTTATACAAAAATTGTTAAACGTCTAAATATATGATATTAAACATGATATAAAGAAATTCCTAAATTCTGAATGAATTATAATTTATCAAGTATCAAATTTTATTCTTTTATTATTTTGAATTGAAATTAATAAATTTTTTTATAATTATTATTAATTGATATTATGATTACTAATATATATATATATAATTATATATATATAATATATATAATATATATATATATATATATATATGTACAAATTATTTATTTTTCCAAATATAATTCTGTAGCCTTCAAAAAGATTTCTATTACATAATCTTTAAAATGATCGGTCAGTTTCTCATCTCTTAACAATAAGGTGTGGCAGTATATAAGGCATATAAGTTGTCTTCTTCTTTAAACAGTCTCCTAAAGACTTATTCTAGATTCTTGTAACATTGTTTAAGATGATGTTGAGAATTATTTATACATTACGAGACAAGAAACCAACTACTTGATTAATTAAATTTTTCGTTAGTACTTACATTGCTTTGGAAAGAAAAAAATTGCTTAAAGATTCGAACACTCAAGCAAAATTTGTGAAACATGACAAATGAGATTGCGAATGTTTATGCTTGATAAATATGTAAAAAGCATATGATACTTATACATGAAAAATATGTAAATATGAATAAAAAAATTTGTATATCTGTAAAAAATACATATTTATAATGTACAATATAAGATATAATACATACATATTATAATGTATTATGTATACATGTAATGTAATGTATCAAATATTAAGAATATTTTGTTTTGCAATTATTATGATATATTTTAATTTGAATTACGATAAATTACAAGCATTTTCTCTAAATTTAATAGCATTAACTGATAACATTTATTGATAAAAATTCATTTATATATGGAAAATAATGTTTTTATGACACAATATAAATAATTAATAATTAATACATATTTAAATTTATTTCAGTAATATTGTGTGGCGCATTTATCGATTTTTGTATGAATTCGTTAAAATATTTGAAATTTTAATTAACGCAGTAAATTCTATATATTTTTCTAAGATAACAATTCAACTTTTATTTCATTTTTCATCAGAAATCATCAGAAATATTTTTTAAATGAATTAGATAATTATTCATTTAAAATATCTTTATTGAATCGTTTAATGAAAAAAGAATCAAAATATCTAAATGAATTTTAATGAATATTAAATTTTGTCTAATTTCATTATGTTAGAGTACTTCTTATGTAATTTTAATTGCAATTCTTTTTTTAAATTTAAATTATTTATTAATATAAAATTAAATAGATATATTTCAAAGTTATTTTATTACTTTTGACTTACTTAAAAAAAATAATTCGATAAATTTTCGTCTTCTTAAAATTTTCAATATAAAATAATATTGTTTTAATCTGCATATCTTAGCTTTAAAATATGTATTTAATTAAAATAGATTTCGTTAAAAAAATAATTTTTTTAAATATTTTTTAATATACTTCAATATGAAGTGATATAAAAATAAAAAAAATTCTTTTTACGAATGATATTAATTTGTTAACCAATGAAAAATTAAATATATAAACATAATATATTCATATATATAAATAACATATATATTTTTGCAATATATTTTTGCATATATTATATATGTTAAATATAAATATGTAAAGCATATGTATTATGCAAAATAAAAAATATATTTTTAATTATGAAAAAAATATTTCTATTCAAAAAAATATTTTATTGTTGTAGATATTTTCAATGAAAATTTATGCATTTGCATAAACATTCGCATTTTAATTATGTATTTTTACAACAACGAAAAACGCCTCATTTTTCGGTTTTAAATGTTAATGCTTATAAAGATTGCTACATTTTTGTTTGTCCATTATTGTAATATTAAAAATTTGTTAGACATTGACATGCATCTAATATTGAAATGGAGATTGCTTATCAATTTTCTTAGACTACGGTTCTATTTTTGTTACAGAATTTTCATTATCATTGTAATTATACAATTATCATTATATATCTATTATATATTTTTTATATACAATCGTTTAAGTATAGCTATGTCCATACTTACTCAAAAAGAATACGATATTATACTAGAACCACTCTTTTTCCATAAACGATTCCTTTTTTTTATTTTTTTTTTTTTCTTTAATTTTTCTTTAAATTATTAAAAAGATTCTTTTAATTCATTATTTAATAATCTTGATTTATCAATAACTGTTATAAAGTCTAAGTGACCAACTGAACATTATCTACATACGTAAAGGGAATACAATTCTCTATTAGAAATAAGTATAAATAGCATAAGAAAAATGAATCAAATCAATGTTTTTTTTCACTTTTGAATGAATAAATACTATACACGCGTCTCTATAGAAATTATTTTATTTTTATCATCTTGCCAAATTTGTTTTTTTTTTTTATGTTTTGACTGTGATTGGATCCTGCCCAATCTAATAAATTTATACATTCAATTGCTTAGATCTTTTCTTATTTTTAGATCTTTTTTATTTCCTGTTGCATTTTATTTATTTCTTCTTCTTTTCTTTTATTGCGTTGCTTCCTGAAGCAAGCTTTTGAATTTCAGCTAGGGAATCACTTATCTTTTTTTCTTTATCTTGAAGATAAGGTGGCTTCTTTAATCACGTATAAAAGCACTATAAATTCATTTGCTTCCTTAAAATCAAAAGCAAAAGAATTTATGTGTTCCATCTAATAAGAAGACTGGATATTTGAATTATCCAATCATGTTTGGCAGCAAATACTTGAAATATATTATTCAAGTTTTCACAAGAAAATATATATATTCAAGATTTAATATTTTTAGTATAGTCTACATAATTTATATATAGTATCATAGTCATAATAGTATTATAATGAAAGCTATGATATATATAAATATATAGAAAATATTTCAAACATTATTTTCTCATGAAATTTTGAATACTATATTCTATGTATTTGAAATATATTCTATGTAAGATAATATTACTCTATGTGTTTTTTTGTAGGAATTTCATTCGGTCTATTATTTCTTAGATAATACCGATATATTACACTTCTGTAGTGCGACTGTATGGGCTGGATTCCTCCGATTGTGAAAGTTTTCGTTCTCGTTTAGTGAATAGACCTCCTAAAAAAGATGGCTGCTGAGCCAGTCCTTTAACACCACCAGGGATTGTAGCCCCTGGATGTATAGAGTGAACTTGTCCAGGATGTTTAATGCCTTGGCTCATTGAGCTGGCAGATGTAGATTGAAAAGAAATCGACATACCACTATCAAGTGAACCCACGCTTCCACGTCGCTGCGGTTTTTCACCAGCAACTATGAAAAAATATAAAAATACATTTAAATTTCAAATATTATTTTTTATATTGATTTATTGCAAATATTATCTAAATCTTCTCAATCGATACGTTTTGGAATTAATTTTTGAAAAATTAATCTATATATAAAATATTGAAAAATAATATTTACATTGTTCATGTATATCCAAAAGAGAATTACTAAGTGCAGAGCGTTTCAATTGAGTTTCCATGTCGGTAGTTTCCGATCTTTCGGAACAAGGCCCCGGGCAAGGACATATCTCAACGTCTGCTACTCCAGAATCTCTATTTTCAGCACCACCTCTGGCGCTTCTACTGCTTTTCTGTCGTTCTAGTTCCGTCTCAATCCGTAAGGTTTCCATCTCGTCCATTTCACTGATAGATTCTCTAAGATCCTCAACAAATTTGCATCTATCATGTGCGTTTCTCGCATTGAATGTGACCAATACTTTTCCATCCACGCGTTGGGAGAGTCTAATTCCATACGGATAATCTGAAAAAAAAAAAAAAATTAAAACAAAGAATAGTAGATGACAAAAATGAGTTCAAAAATATAATATATAATATATAAATATATAATTGTTAAATATATAATTATTTATGCTTGAAAAATTATAATAAAATATTTCATTAGGGAAAAAAAATTAGAATAACAAAAAAAGAAAAAAAATATTTGATAGTATAAATAAAACATGTTTATTTAATTATTAAATATTTAATTAATTATTATGTTGATATAAGAATATATCATCATGATATCATGATATAAATGATTTTAAATACGAAACTCACGAGGAACTTCAAACAGTGTGACCACCATTCCGCATAATGGAAAACTTTGTCTAAATGTATAAGTAACACTGTTTTTCTTCTTACTCAAGATCTTTGTCACAACGAGAAGATCATTGAAGAGGAATACTTCCCGTTGATGTACACCCGGTCTTTCCTTTTTGTGAATATCTGGGATCTCGTACAATCTGCAGTAACAAACTAATCTTCTATGTGGTAAAGCCATATTAGGTTTTTTACCAACTATTGTCGCTTGAACTTTCATTACTTGAGAAACATGATCTGAGCCAGGTTTAAATTCATTTTCCTTCACTCTCTCATAAATTCCAACTAATATGTCTTTATCAATATCTCCACAATCATCTATTCCTCTAAGATTCTTGATAAAATCATCCAGCCTCATTCTACGCTCTGGTTTTAAATTTGGTGTATGCAAATCAGTATTCAGCATGATTATTGCAAAGGCCAATACAAAGACAGTATCCGCTGAGCGTAGTCTGGATACTACATCGGGATTGCATTGGCAATAACGTTGGCTAAACACCTCCATTAATCTCTCTATCTTTTGAGCTTCGCCAGGCATTCGAAAGTATGCTTGAAATTTTCTCAAGGCGACATCTACTTGCATTCCTGATAGATCCAATTCATGCGAAAAACATCTAAAAGAGAAATTGTTAAAAATTATTTTTATTTTATTTTATTTTAAAGTATATCATAATTAGTAAAATATATTATAATTAATAATTAAGCATTAATAAATAATACAATTATATAAAAAATTAATAATATTATAATTTGAATTTAAATTATAATTGAATTTAAATTATGATTCTTTTAATGATAAAAGAATCTATTTATTTATTTATATTATTTAGAGATATTTAGAAATATTTCAAATTAATTTTTTATTTTAGATTTCAAGAACAAAATTAGTTTTCATATTTTCTTAAAATTTATTTTAATATCATGAATGTTAGTAGCTGTGCAACCGTGAGTAAAGTTATCTGTTACCAATCCACTTTGACCTAAATTTTTTGTCAAAATAACATAACGACTGGTTGTAAATAGATCAATACTATTTTTAGTATTCTTTTCACAGCGATTTACAGAATTATCTTTTGTATCTATCAAAGAATCGAATATAGAAATGAAATCAATTGCGTTTTTAGAAAAATAATAACAAGAAAAAGAAATGAGCAATGAATCCAAACTGCATGTTTTCGATTACTGGTCATGATAAATAAATAAATTAATTTTGAATGTGTCATTATATTCTTTAGTTTTATTTATTTTTTTTCACAAGAAAATAAAATGTACATAATATAAAAGTATAAAACGATACTTACTCAAGTACAGCCATATTGAAGGGATTTTGAAGATTTCCAAGATATTCTCCTATCATTTGTTTGGATAATCCTTTTCTACTAATCAAAAATCTAGCCACACCCTGAGGACTATTTTCCAAGAATCCTCTTCTGATCAAATAACTAATCCCACGTTCTGGTTTCTTATTAAATAAATTTAAGCCCACTCGATATTGGCGTTTTCTAACAGTTTCCGATACTTTATAGCTTGTTTGAGGTATATTTTCCGGATGGTCCATGAGGGGAAGTTGATAACCGGAACTGGCATGTGAATGACCAAGATCTTTTACACTATTTATCATAGCGTTAGAATCTGTAGTATGGTTAGTGCACTCCTGATGCTCTGGTGAACTTGACTATAAAAAAAAAAGATAAAGTTAAATTTAAAAGAAATTAAAAATAAAATAAAATAATATATATATATATATATATATATAAATTTTATATTCTTAATTTATCAATTTATTTATTAATAATTATAATAATAGTGTTAGTATATATTCATCTATATAGTAATATAGATGAAAGTATTACATCATCTTCTTTATTATATGCAAATATTAAAATAGAATTTATATCTATAATATATATTTACAATAATAGGACAATCAGTACAATTATTTGATTACTATTAATTTAATTTACATCTTTTTATTTTGTAGCTTATCTATTTATTTTTAAAATTTCATCAAAACAAAAATATTTAATTTTAAAATTAAATGGTCACTTAAAAAGATTTTAGACGCAGAATAGAAAAAACTCACGATTCCTTTATGTTTCCATACAGGTGATCCTCTTTGAGCGTCTCCTTCAGAACTCTCGCAATTAGTGGAATCGCTTCCAGAACTTTGAACCGAACTTAGACTACCATTTTCAACGCTTTTGCTAAGACCATTGTGACGTGGTTCCATAGATCTGGACGTAATGGAAGACGTTCTTTTTGGCACTTCCGGCGGTACTTTTTTCGCTGATCCTCTCGTTCTACCGGCGGAACCAAGATGACCAGCGCTATTCCAGTTTTGAACCACCTGTGTTTGAAGATTATGAGGCGTCGATGGTGATGTGCATGGTGTTCGTAATAGATCTCTCGGCGGTGTCTCTTGTCTGATGCTGCATAGTGTCTCCTGGAATACAGAATAGGAATAATTCTTTTTATAGTTATTATATTTATATATGTAGAATAAACGAATTTTACAAAATAAACTTTAAAGTTAAAAGAAAAAATAGAAATATTTTTGTTCTATGCATATTATATGATAGTAACGAATTAATTAAAATTATTCGATATATTACAATAAATTTATTAATTTAGTAAATATATAGCTACATTTACTAGAGAATCAATATATAAACATTTTTTAATTTTTAAAAATAATAGACATTTTTATGTATAATGGATATCTGAATAAAATCTTACATAAATGCATATATTCATTAATTAATCTATGTAATCATGTATCTAGTAAGTGTTATGCTTTTGCCTAATAGATATATTTGCATCTGATTTTCTACAAGAAGATTTTTTCTATTTTTGATACAAAATTTAGTCCTCTTCTTTGTTTTTAACTTTTAATAAATACGATTATAACTAATTAATATAAAACAAAAAATGTAATCCTAAATTATTGTATTTTGATCAAATTTTATTTTAACTTAATATCCTTTCATCTTTAATTTCCTTAATTAATCCTTTCATCTTCATATTTAAAATTTTATAATATATATAATATTATAATATATATAAATTATATAATATATATAACAATAATCAATATAAATCAAATATCAAATTTCATTAAAATTTGAATAAATTGAAAGAATTTACGTTTTACAATGTCTCATCTTTTCAAATTCAAAATTCCAAATTCCAAAGAAACAAATCAATCATATGATAAGAAATGTAAATTACCTGTGGATTGTAATAATGCATACTAGATCCGCTTTCCTGGGAGCTGGACTCCCAGCATGGACTAGGTGGTAATTGTTGGTGTCTGTTGCAAGGACTGGGAGCCAGAGAAGGCGTGTGTCTGCCACTTTGATGTATATTATGATTCACGTGTGGATGACCACCGATTTGAACTTCGCACCTGCCGCTCTGGCTCCTCGGTATCGGTGACTGCGAGTTCTCCACGTGCCTCCTCTCTCTCAGAGACATGCTTCTGATAGGCATTGGCCTGTTTGCTGTCTGTGGTTGTTGTATATAAATTTGACTATGATAAATCATCCTTTCGTGCTCGTTTGCGTTTGAAACTCTCTCCGAGGTCTCTTGCAGTTTTCTGCTAAGGCGTTTCTCTGCTTTCGCCATGGCGGTGATAGCTGCGAATTTCTTCAATAGAGTGTATCTCCTAAAAGCTCTTTGAATAGTCAGTGCAGCATTTCTCGCTTTTACACCGCCGTATTTTCGTTCCAGCATCTCTATCTGTTTGTCCAGCAGATCCTGAGATAATTCATACCTGTTTCAAAGACCAAAAATTGTAATGAGATGATGAAATTCACTTTGTTCAAGTCAAATCAAGTTTTGAACTATAAGATTCATAATTGTTTGACTTTTATTTTTTATTAAATATATTTCTTTAGACAGGGTTTATATTAAGAAATAGTTTTCGCTAAAGAGAAGAAGTTAAAAAGTTGAAGCTTGAATTATAAATCGATCTATGAACGAAGACGTGCGTTCTGAGAAAATTCACTTCTTTTTAATAGCCACAAACAACGTAAAGATCAATGTAGAAAATTCTTAGATAACGAAAATCAAAAAATTTGTCAACTAATTCACTTTTAAAATTGATTTACAAACGAGTTTCGTATTACAATTGATTTTTTATCGGGAATTTTCATAAATTTTCATAAAAAAGATATCTTATTAAAAATTNATTTTTTTTCTTAAAGAATCTCTCTGTAAATCCCAAATCTTCTCGTTCTTTCAAATTTAAAAAAAAAAATTCCAAAATTTTTCAAATATGAAACAAATTTTCAAATTCGTCAAAAGAGGAACGGGAGAGCCATCAAATTTGTCGTCGATTGATTTTTCGATCGGTAAGTAAAAAAAAAAGAAAAAAAAAAGAAAAATGAAAGGAACGATGAAATCAGATGTTGATCTTACGCATTCTGTAGCCTGCATCTCTTCAGCACGTCTCCGTTACGTACAGGTCCTTTTTTAAGATGATTCTGTTGATACCCTGTAGCTTGTGGCTGACCGCCATACCCCTGCACCATGGTGCCGTAGCTTTGCGGCTGATTATATCCCGCGTGAGTGTACACCCTCACGTTAGACGTTGAATTGTATGGACCGTGGGCGTAGTTCTGGCTTTGAACGTACGACTGGCCCGTGATATAAGATGTGGTCAGGGATGTTTGACTGCTGGACGAATACACGCCGTGCATACCACTTCCGTGCATTTGGCTCACGTTTGCCGTGTGCTGCGACGGCCTTTCCATCTTTTGCGGGAAACTGTAATAAAAAAAAAAAAAAATGGAATGGTTAGTCGTACATTTAACGATTCATTGTTACGAGAGGCTGTCAAGATCGATGGATATATTACGATCCCTTGAATTTTAAATAGATAGATCTTTCAACCAACTATATAACGTTAATTTTAATGAAAATTAGATAAGTTGGATACACTGTTCATTCAGGAGAATGATTAGAGGATTTGGGATTTAGTTCGAGATTTTTCGAAAAAGCGTGAAGCAAGATTGTAAATTTCTTTCAGGATTTTCTATTTATATATAGGAATTTTATAATAAATTGTACAATAGAATTAATTCGATCGATATTTTAAAATCGTGTACAGAATAATTTCGAGTGGAATTTTTCATTTCGAATATTGCCATGCATTCGATAGCACATATGTACGCAATATATACTGTAATAAATCGTGTAAACGAGGTTATCGTCGAAGACTTGCAGATTAGTCTCGCGGACTCATCTTGCTCTTGATCGTGCACACGTCCGTACACGAGCACCGTCATTGGTTTATTGAATATCCGCCCGCCACGTGATTGGCAAACGTGATATCCGGAGATCTCGCTTGCCGGGCGAGATAAATCGTCGGTTTCTATTGAAACGCGTTTTCTAACATTTACGAGGTAAATTTGACGCGATAATTAATGACGAATATTTTAATAAGAAAAAGAATCAATCCCTACGGATCGATTTCACTTATCACGAATTTTTTTTTTTTTCTTTTCTTTTCTTTTCTTTTCTGGACGAAACGAATTAACAACGAAAATTTTTTTATTCTACTCGTCTTCTATATCTAAATTTTCCGACGATTCGACGAGAGTAGAATTGAAATCCACTCGAAACTAGTTATAATTCTGAAAAGAAATTTACCAGAAATAAGCCTGCCAACTATAACTACAACGAAACATCGCGGTGAATGGTCGCGAGGAAAAACGCCACTTCTGTTCCACCAGCTGCAGGCAATTACCATTCGAGGGACTGTTTCGCGCTTCGTGAATCACACGCGATGAATCATACGTCGAAATTCACCCCCGTACAATTGTTGGATAACAACCTACCCCGTGAGAAATCCTGCCACGCAGACCACCATGTCGATTCCTTCCCTCTCGATCACACGCTCACTCGATTATTCGATTTCGATTTTAATTCGATCGATCGGTTCAAATCGAACACCACATTTTTCTCAGATTAATATTCTTCACTTCACTCTCGTAAGAAGAAAAAATTTCTTCCTCGGGATAGGGAAAGTTCAAAGAATTTAGTTTTACGATTTTTGGATAACAATCAAGAGATTGTAATTTTTGGGAATTTTTCTTCTTCGTGAAAATGTAATTTTTAAGATTCGTGGAAATTGAAAAACTCTTGGTGAAGATTGAAAACTTTGAGAATTTCTAAGTGTTTTAATATCGAAAGATATAAGATTTTAGAATTATTCCAGAATTTGTAATAATCGATTATAACTTAATTTTAGAAGGAAAAGATTTTAGGATTATTCCAGAATTTATAATGATCGATTATAACTTAATTTTAAAAGTAAGTAATCTCTATTCGGAGGAAAGGGTAATCTCGATGATTTCGAGAATCGCGGATGGTTCAAGCTGGATAAGAAGGATGGAAGGAACGGTTGGAAGGTTCGATGCGAACTGGAGGAAGGGTCGTGACAGTTTGAGAGATCCTAGTAGGGTGGGCTAAGGTGATCGAGGATCGCGAGCAGCTGGCAGCCACGGGCATTCTTCGTCCTCGAGGATCGGAAATCAGTGACAGTCGGGGAACGAGTGATACGAGAGAGCACGTGTGCGCATCGGTCAACCCAGTTGCGTGCAACTTTCTATTCTTCCGTCCAATTTTCCCACCTCTCATTCGACAATCTCTTCAACGGTGTATTCTCTATGAAATTTTCCACGAAATTCGTTTTCCTTTTTTTTTGAAGGGGAGGAAGAAAGGAGACAACTTCTCTTATGTAGATTCCCTTATTTTATTTTCTTTCTCCCAGATTTGTTAATCCACCAAAACTGTCTTAAATAAATTTTAAAATGATTATAATTTAAAATTTATATTTAATTTATATTTTAAATTTACGTGCGCATACGATAAAATATTGAACAGTTTGCGATAAAAATAGCAGGTTGTCACAGGAAAAATATAGAATAAAATGGAGATATTTCGTGAAAAATTAACGAACACGATTCTAATTCTTTTTTTTATTTTTATCGAATTTTTTAAACGAGAACAAAGTCCACAACTTCTGTATCTATTATATTTTATTCTAGAACAAACGAATAATGAAATACGTATGCAATATCGAGAAGAAAAGAAAAAAATTAATTCGAACCCGAAATGGGTTAAGAGACACTCGAGGATAAATGGCTTGTGTACCCTGGCGAGCTTCGTTATTTCGCCAGAAGTGGAGAAGGATAAAGGGATGCTACCTTTTCGAGCAGTCCTTGAAAACGTGTATCGATTTTCACATGTGTGTCAGCAGGTACGCGATGAAAGATATCGAACGATGATGATGATGATGATGATGATGATGATGGCCGTGACACTTCCATATCCTTATGCAATATGCATTCAATTAAACGACTTACGTAACGTATGGAAGTTTATGGCTTGCACACTGAGAAGTCTGAAAAGTTCCCTCGTTGATTGGATTTTGCCAGGGTCGATGAGTCATGCGAATTAGATGACCTACGTTTCTTTCTTTTTCATTTGGAAGCCAGTATTCTTATAATATTTTAATATGTCAGGATTTTTTAAAGAATTTATTTTGATTTGAAAAAAAATGGGAAAGCAAGATTTTTTGTCTTTCCGAATTTCCCAGATTAAAATTTAATGATTCGTTATATGTACAACATTCTTGTAGAAATTTTAAGAGTAAGAAGTAATTTTCTTGGCGAATAGAAAGAGCATGTCACTTTGCGCATCATTCTTTTCCATCAAAGTTTTTCTTGCGATCGTCTTAAATGAAAGGTAATTGCGGGAAAAGCTAAACGAGAAATTAAAGCGTGTGCACACACTCACGATCACGTGTATCATTGAATTGTACATCGACAAGAAATCGTTCGTATCTGATATTATTAATATCATCATCTCGAGCAATTGGAAATTACACTTAATATACAATATCGAATCGATAACGTTTTTAATAACTTTTACTTTCTCATGAATCAATCATGACAAATCACAACGATAAAATAAAAAAATAAATTATGTAAAAACCGTGGAACGCAACTACAATTTTATTTTATTCTTCTCAATCCTTCCAACTTATGGATTTCATAAATTAATAATCGACCCGATATAGGGATATAGGGATATTTCAAAATTGTTCCTAGACAATTGGAAACAACCGAAACGATTATTCGGCGCATATCTTCGTGGATTAAAATTCAAGTTGCTTAAAAATCGCAAAAAAAAAAAAAAAAAAAAGGACGAGCAACGAGTCAGGTAAACGCTTTGTATTTTTTTACAAAGTGCTCCATCGAAGAGGAAGAACAAGAGCGTTTGAGGGATCGAGAGAGAGAGAGAGAGAGGATACTGGCGGAGCCACTTTGATTAAAAAACACGGAGCCAGGTGTTGAGTTCCGTTTGTTGTGTGCGCACGCACACGCGTGCAAGCGAGGCAATAGCACGCGTACATCCACCGGCACGAGCTTCGTGCAACAGCCGACAAGCAGATGTTTCGATTCTTGGGAGGCTTTAAAAAAAAATTCCACCCTGCCTCTCAATATATTCCAACGAAAAAACGAAAGACCGCCCTCTAATGCCATCGTTTCTACGAGAAACTTGTTTGTTCCGTGTACATATATATATATTTGTGCACGTGAAAGTGCAATAAACGCAATATCTGCTTTACCGTGCTGGAGATCGCGCATAATGTTTGAGAATTACGATAGTGAGATTTCTGTTCCCTAGAATGTTGAATCTTGAGCAGAAGTAGTGAGCTAATAATATCAATTATGAATTAATTGAATTCTTCATATCTAATCTAAGTGTTGTTTTAATTGATTTCGATACATTCTAGAACGAGATTGGAGAAATCAGGTTAGGTTTTTGAATAATAACAGCTTTGGAAAAAAATAAAATATAAATTCTCCAAACAAAGTGATCCTTAATTTTTCCACAATATTAAGGATCCAACTAAGGAAACAAGTTTAAAAAGAATTTTTTACCGACAATCGATAACAGCTTGATTCTCACTAGGTAACCAGGAAATTAATTCAATCCATTTCATTTTCTTTTAAAAAAATATGTATATATATATATATCTCCTTTGAAAAGCAAATCGAAATAGCATCGCGACGCGATGGAAAATGTTGCATTCACAGGAGTGAAAATAATAGCCTCGAAGCGGAAAGTGAATACGAGTCTCTCTCAACCGACTCGTCGTGGAAAACAAACGCCCTTTCATCGAGCCTGCTCTCGCAGTTTGCGCCCTCGATAAATTCTTAGAAGCGACTTCTCTATTGTCTTAGAGCGGCGTTTGACGTTGGACGGCGTCTACTTTATCGCGGCAGACGAGAAAAGAGAGAGAGGGGGAATTGAAGAGAGATGTTCTAGCGCATAGCCACTCGTGCGTTCATAGGAAGACAAAACCCTCAGACGCGTAGGCTTCAGGTGGAGTGCATCAGCTGCCACTTGGACACGCGCCATAGAAACCTCTACTGTGTTTCCTTATCCTTTTTTTTCTCTCCTTCTTCTTCTTCACTCTCTTCTTTCCTTCCTTCCTTCCTTCCTTCTCTGAACTTCACTTGCGTGGAATAGAGCAGATCTCGATTGGTTCAATTTAGAACTGTGCGTGGAAGATCGTAACGCTTTGATTTCAATTTCTCCACTTCTAGTTTTTTATTTTACAACTTTTTCTTCTTTTTTATCTTATATATCCTGCTCTGTTAGCAAACGGAGCAATTTTCTGTTTTCTGTGAAATCGCTTTCACGGAATTAATTTATTCTTTACACGAAACTTTCATAGTTATTATTTATTTCAATATTGAAAAATTGTCATCGATTATCAAGCAAAGGAATATTATAAATTAACATTATTATCAATTCAAAGACTTTTCTACACTCATTTATTCACGATTGACAAATCTTAAAAACTTAAAGCAAGGAATTCAATTTCCTAATATCCGATCCTTTTGTTTCATCATGAAATTGTACAAAATTTTTTTCTACACTCGATTTAATAAATCTCGAAAGAGATTTTTCCCCCGGCCGAAAGAGATTCGGAAAACTGGGGTTCATTGAAGACAAAGATAGAAAAATGGACGAGGAGGCGCAATCTCTCGTGAAATCGCGCGATTCACGTTACGTGTATACGGGAAATTAACGTCACGTAATTAAACGGCGTCGCGTGCAAAACTGGATTCGTGTGCGAGGCACTCGCTCGGTGCTCACGAGAATTCTCCTCCCTTTCTCTCTGTGCGTTTCTCCGCTTGAAATCTAGCGTAGATTTCGAGAAAAAAAAACAAGAAGAAAGAAAAGGGAGAATCTTTTGTGAACGTTCTTTTTTTTTTTCTTTTAAAGAGGCAACGGTTGTTTTAAATCGGGAAACAAGCTGTTCAAAAAGTAAACCATTGCGCCTTTTCACGAATCATTTCGTGCTAAAGAAGCTATTTCGTTAACAGGTTCGCTTTTCAAACGGTTGTTTCACGGTTCTCTGCCAACTTTGGATATTTTATATTTATAGACACCGGGCATTGCGCAATCGATAATCATATGCATTCTAATTATATAACTAGGAAGAAGGATCGATTATAACGTATATGATTACGTACGTATATTTTTCGGTCCAAGTATTTGTTTATAAAAGTTTTTATAAAAATTTGTCAAAGTGATTTTGCCTGAAAAAATATCTTTTTAAATTAAAATATTCCTCCTAGTTTTACAAAGTTAATATATACGAGAGGTAAAACAAAAGAGAACATAAATTTTTATAGAAAATGAAAGGAAATATAATAATTTAAAAATATACGAGTGGAACTTTTGTATGTTCGATCATCTGCGAAAATTTATAATTCTATAATTTTTGAGATCAGATTGGAATAGAAAATTCTGTAAATTTAAATAAAAAAGAAAAAAAAGGATCGAAAATCGTAATATTAATTAACGAATTGTTTTGTTAACGATGAAATTGCTTCAAAAGCATTTTCTCGTTTTTTTCCCCCTAGTTTTGCTCGAGAGAGCGGGAACAGCAGCAATGCTGATAGTGCTCGCGTGCTACTACTAAAGGAAATTATTTCACGCAACTGAGGGATCGTTTGAATCTGCGAACACGCGCTAGCAACCGTTAATGGCAATCAACGGTTGTTAATTGTTCAATGATAATTAGCCGAGACGCGAAGAAGCGGAGTTGTGGTAATGGAGCACGCCTTGATAATTTCTTTAATGAATTCGGGACACATCGTGCGTGGCTTCTTCCGTGTGATGAAAATCAACCATCCCCCTTTTCGTGTCTTGTGTCGATAACGCAACTGGTTTCTTTCTTTCTTTCTTTCTTTCTTTCTTTCTTTGTTCATTTAGAGATATGGTATAATTTTTATAATAATCTACTCGAGATAAAATCGTACGGTAAATTTGAGGTTAACACAAGTTGAATGAATATTTAATTAGGAGGAGGTAATCAAGCGATGTAAGGAATGTTTAAGTTGGTAAACAGTTTGGAAATTAGAAAGAGAGGAAGAGAGGTTATTAAAAATTTGAAGGATGGAAATTCCTAGGACAAAACAGACTAATCTAGGGGAATTCTCTTGTTATAGAGAATTATAATTTTTTAACAAAGAAATATAGAATCGAACTCTGAAGATCGATTATTAAATTGAAAATTTAAAGTATCGGGGGAAAAACGAAGAGATTTATTTAACGAAATTAATTGGTGGTGGAAATATTTTGAGAATCAAAATTAAAAGTAAATGAAAAATTGTATGTCGATATTTATCACTCGAGTACAATTTAATATCTATTCGACAAAGATCTTTCCCTCTTGTACCCGATAGGGTTATCTCGCAGAAGAAGATAAAATTGCACTCGAATTATTTCATCGTGTATATTTCGAGAGAAGATTTACGCGTGTAAAATATCTCGTGGGAACGCGATCCACACTCGACAGATATTCTGTTCCCTTTTATGCATATAATTAACGCGAATAAGTCACAGCAGAGCCTGGTCTAGAGGGGTTCTTTGGGTGCAAAAATTTCCATAAAATAGCCGGAAACTGTTTGCGTAACTCGAGCCTGTGTAGCGCGAGCTCGAAACGAGCCATCGCCCGGAAGTGAACCATGAATTAGGACACGCTGCGAATTACGAATCATAAATTATATTTATACGATTGTTCAATTGTTCAATCTTACCGACGTACTCTACGTCCCTTTCCTTTAATTTCTTTCAATAAATTACACTTAGATCTCGTTGCGGTTAATTTTTAGTTACTTTTCTAGAGGGTTCTAGAGAGTGACGGTATCTGGTAATTTGTAAGTTTCAAACAATAGGGAATTTTTTATTCTCGGAATCCTGTAAATTAAAGATAAAAATATCGTTCCAAATATTCAAAGATTAAATAATAATAATAATAATAATAATAATAATAATAATAATGGAAAGGTTGATTTCATGTTAATGAAAAAAATGATAATAATAATAATAATGACGATGATCATTATCGATGTATTATAAAGATATATGAAGATATATAGCATAAGTACCGGTTGATGAAATTGGTAGGCGTTGAATAGCCCATCTGCAGCCTTGATCTGATCACCTTCTCCTGAACGGTGACAATCCTGGAACTCTTAGAGCTCTGGTGCACCTTAGTGGTTCTGATTACTTGGTAACAGTGATGTTTCGTTTGGGTGTTGACCACCCTGTCGCTTCTTGGCTCGATCATCATGAACATGATTACTTTCACTGATCACCACCAATCACTTTTATCACAGAATGTGGTCTCGCTGTGTTTATCACTCCCTCGCTCACTTTCATATTTTTATCTCTTTTGTTATTTTATATATACCACCGTCTCTAATTACCGATTATCACAATATTCTTTGGTTTGTCTCGTAAATATCGAAAACGTCTTAATTATTCGAGATACATTTCGGTATCCAATAGACCTGAAGTTTGTAGAAAGGTAAGAAAAATTGTACATTTTTGATATTTTTCTTTCAAAAAGAAAAAAAAAAAGAATGGAAAGAGTACAAAGAACGAAATATCTGACGATTTTAAAATAAATATTTTTCAAAAAATATTTTTCACGAAAAATTATTTTTTTAAATTTCTTACTTCAGAAAAGAGGATAAAAGTTCGAGCGATAAATTGTGATTAAAGTTGGCAAGATTTCTAGTGGAAACTAGGGAAGTCAGAAGTTTAACTTGGATATCGAAGAGGTTGCTTGAAATTTTAATCGTGGTACTTAGTAGTTGGTTTGCAGATACTTAGTAATTGATTTGATTAATCGAATGCTTAGGAATTATTTAACGTGGAATAAATCGAAAAGCACTTCAGAACTATATAACTAAATATAAAATTTAGAAGTTTTTTAAAAACTTTAAACTTTAAAACAGAGTTATATAATTATAATTTAATAATTTAGAAAATATTTAATATTATTTAGATAATTATCTAATTTTCTTTATAATTTTAAAAATATAATTTCCATTTTTTTTCAGTTCACCTACTGCACGTTAATTATAGAAACACTCGATCTGAAAGAACAGCAGAATAACTTTTTTTATCGTCAAAATCGACAGTATTAATTAACATTTTTTAATCCAATGAAAAACACGATTATCATACTTTACCATTTCAATGAAACTGTAATATCGACTAAATTTAGCATCGTGTCGATGCTAAGAAGAATATTTATCAGTCGCATTATAAATCATTCGCTCGCAACTCGCTCGAAGAAAGTTCATCTCCTTAATAGATATAATATTTTTTTACAATTACTTAATAATTAACTCTCGTATTGTATTCGAATTTATATCTTTCTTCCTTCTTCTTTTCTATTATTTGTTGTTTCCAAGAATGAAACTGCTTAATATGAATGAAAAATATCGTTTTCACTGATGCTTTTTTTCCCGATTAATTAACCACCACCGATCGCGACTTTCTAACGACAATAATGATTAATATACATGAGCGTGGACCGGATAATAGGAATGAAATTAGTTTTTCATTTCGCAATCGATTTTCGTAATCTTCCGTGAAAAAGGCCAAACTTTCGAAAAATGGTTAGATGATAGAAAAATTAATACGATTCTTGATATTTATAAATTAAAAAAATTAAAAATTTCACATTTATAATCGAAGAATCTAAAATATATATTAAATATGTAATAAAAATGTCCAAATATATAATAAAAGTAAAAAAAAGACTAGATTGAAATCATAACCTAACCTCTTTCCATGGCGAAATTTGTCGCATCTATTCCGATAATAATCAAACTTTTATTTTCTTCCATTATTCTTCCATTATTCTTCTATTATTCTCCCATTGTGCCCGATTTCCATTGGATTATTAATTTATACGAAAACGATTTTCCGTCACTGCTTTATTCCCTGTAATTAATCGCGTTTTGTTGGCGACGCTCGAATTAAATCGTTTTTGTAATCTCCCGCGAACCCGTTTAAACATGGCCGATGCACACTGAAACATCTCGTCTCCGGTTATAATTAATGATACAGCTTATGATACTTAATTGTATTCGATAATTACGATCTTATTGTACCTTCTCATCGTCATTTACGTCGACGCCATAATTAGCTTTTTCTATTTTATTTAATCACTCTATTGTTATTAATCTCTGTATTATATTCGCATAATATAAATATAAGGGAAAATTAAAAAAAAAAAAAAAGGAGAAATTTGATTTTGTGAATATCTGTTTAATATATTTTTTTTTTTTTTTTCATAAGAAAAAATACTGAATGAAATTGCAATCTCAATCGTAAAATAAAATCTTCTATCTATGTTTTACATCAAAGATTAATTGACTCAATTGATAGATCAGTATAATAAAAAAAAAAAAAAAGAGAGAGAGAAACGATGTTTGTTTTAACGAATTTATAAGTATCGAAACACGCAGGAATTTTTTTTTACCGCGTTAAAACACGGTGATCACCATCGGTGGCTCATTGCTATTCCAACGCATTTTTCGTACGTGAGGCCTCGATCCAGTTAAAGAGGAACAAACGGTATCCACTGACACGTTCTAGTTACACGAGCATAAACTAATTGTATGCGAATGATTTTTTTCTTTTTTATATAATCGTGTCAACGATGCCACGAAGTGGTGGCATCGAATAAAAAGAGCCTCTTGAAAACTTGGTGACTAATTTCAATTCGATTTTAATATTCAATATAATTGTTTTTCTGAAATTAATTTTAATTAAAAATATTGCGTAACTTTAAGGAGAGAAAGAACAACGAGAGTTTTAATCTCGAGGAAGCTGATAATAAGATATTGAGTGAATAAAGATTTTGTTAATTTCGTGGTACAAAAGAGTGGTCCAAAGGAGATCATCCCTTTTAGAGATTCTCTCGATATAATTTAAAATTAACTTCCTTGTTTTTCATTCTATTTTTGATCCTCGAGAATTGAATTATATAATCGCAATATTTTGATTTAAGTTAAAATATCGTGCATTAAGTATAATAATTTATAATTTATAAATATATTTTAAGTTCAAGATTCAAGATTCAAGATTCGTTTCTTTCGATTTTGTTTGTTTCGACACGTTTTGCGATTGGTATAAAATAATATAAAATATTCGATTCGTGTGATGAATAATGGATGGCAAAAAAAAAAAAAGAAAAAAAAATTGATTGATTAACTCGATTTGATGTTTTTTTAATTACTTTTAACGGGATGCTCCTTATCCACCCATTCCACGTTTTTTCACTTTTTCATTATTTTAATTTTAAAACGAGGAAGGGAAGCGTAAACGAAGCGTCTTTAATCCTATTATCTCTCATTTAAATATTATCTAAATTTGCCAAGCATTCGGTAATGCGTCCCCATGGAAACTCCATTAACGAAAATAGCTGACATTTTCAAGATGAAGCACGATACTTTCAAAAAATTTATTGTCTCAAATATCAATATGTTGCTTATTAAAAGAAAGAAAAAAAAAAAAGGAAGAATAAAAATCATTCGATTTTACGAAATCTTTTTTTTTTTTAATGAAATAAATATATATATATATATATATATATATATATATATGCATATATATATAATATTTATTCCTTTCTCTGGAAAGCAGACTACAAATTCTTCGAGGAGAACGAAACGCATTAATGATTACAAAATTAAAATTCATAAGAACTATACAAGAAGAAGATACGCTCGTTTCTGTTTAGGAATTAATTCTACTCTTTTTTGTTAACTCTTCGAGCATGGTAAAAATTTCTTTGAACGGGGAAGAAGACTTGCAAATTTAATTAAAACTCGTTAAAGATAAATAATAACAATGAAATAATGTTTAAAAACAACGTAACACGTTACGCCATTGAAGCGAAAATAAAAAAGATAGAATAAATATCTTCTACAAAATATTGCGCCAGATAAATCGAGAACACGAAAGGGATTTGCATAAAGAGAAAATAGATTCATTATTATCGAATTTTATATTATTATTATTTTATATTAATATTTTATATTAATATTATTATCGAAATTATAAAATCTAAAAAAAGAAATAATTAAACAAGTTAAAATATAAAATTCAATTCTATAAATGTAATAACAAGATTTGCAAATCTTTTGTTAACATCTTTTCTTAACCTTTACACGTTATGCGCTTATTGAACGATTAAACAACGAATTAAGAAAGAAAAAATATTTCTTCGTCGTTAACAATTGATAGAAAAAAAAAAAAAGAAGTTTTCTTAAAAAATTTTCCTAGAAAGGTGAAGGAATTAATAGAACGCGCAAACGATTACCAATAGCTAAGAAAAGGAATTGTGTTAACAGTTTAAATTTAGAGGATCCTTTTTAGAAACAACTGATTAAACCCTTTAACGGTTCGCGAGAGCCTCTCTCGAATCCGTAAAAGGCGCGTTGAATATCATGGCGCGTTCTCGTTTTCCGGTCGCGAAGGAATTAATCGACCTCGAAGTTGGAAACACCAAGTTGGTTGAAAATACAAAGAAACTCTATCGTCTTTTATGGGCGAAGAGTTTCATTTTTTCTTTTTTTTTTTTCCCCTATTTCGTTTTCAGTTTATCAATGAGAATGATAAAACAAAATTGTCGGTCGTCCGGTTCGATGGATTAGTATGCCATTAAGCCGCCATTAGATTAATTAATGACTCGTAGTTGATTTATCGAGTGATTTATTGTTGAAAATAATCAGATATTATATTTTTTTCTTTTTTTTAAACAAAAGCACGATGATTCGGGTCGTGAAAATGGGAATATTATATATTTTTTTTTTTCGTTTGCTTGGAGAGATCTGCTTTGAAAAGTATCTTGCCGCTCTCTTTGAGGTTAGAAACGTGCAGCTTGGAATTTCAGTGGTGAAATTTGTGAAAACTTTTTTACTTACATTCATTTTTTTCTTTTGCGATTCCTCTATTTGAGTCAGAAAAAGTTAATACAAGTAAAAAAATGATCAACAATTTCGAAATCTATAAGGAATAACGTCCTCCCTTTTCAATCTCTTCGTTCCAATAACGAAATCAATACAAAACTGACGATTTGAAATTAATAATCACACGACGAATTCACTAAAATCAACAAATGATATTATTACTAAAAATTTCACTTACAAAACTTTTCTTAGAAAAAGAAAAAAAAAAAAAAAAGAAAGAAGTTCGATTCCATCTCTATACCGAATAACAATAATCAACGATGAAACGATAAAATTTTAATTCTCACAATTAAGAAGAAGAAAGAAAGGTTAGAACGAGCCGCATCTTATCCTCGACACGGTTTGAGAAGATATTTTCGAGATCCTCGAGGAACGATACACTTATTCGATAACGCTTATCAGGATCGATCCCCGACACGGCGAGGGACGAGGAACGATGAAAATACCTCGGCATATCGGCACGCGCGTTGATTCACACTAGCGTCAACTACGGTACTGTTTGCCGTTAGCTTCGATAC